TCACAACTTCCTTGGGCAACCTATTCCTGTTGCTGGCACAGCCCTTTCCCCTCTCTGGGTGTGCTCGGGTAAGACCAAGCTTCAGTGATGCTGCCTGCCCTGCTGCTCTAAACACAGCCAGGGTAAGAATCATTAGGGAACACCTTGAGGTCCAACCCTATTAGTGGTTTTCTTCCTGGAAAGAAACATCTCCTGGTGAGCTTTCCAGGTGCGAGAGGCCGGGTTGAGCCCTGGGCTGATGTGTGAGCTCCCGGCAGCTTCCCCTCCAACCTCGGAGCGCTTTGAATGCCCCTCCTGCCTCCTCTTGCTCTGGTGCCCGCTGTGTTTGTGCTGTGGGTAGCTCCGGGAGCGTGTAGGAGCGCTCGCTGCCGTGTAGGAGTCCTTACACTGCTCTCTAGTGTCCAAAGCCTTCCAGTGGAGCCTGGCGGGATCGCCATGGAGCAGAGCCAGGGTCTCCCTTCTGTAGGGCAGAGATTCACTGTGTTCAGCACCGAACAGGATGGCAACTGTGCCCACCCCGGGGCTTTGGGACCCTTGTGTGGGGCTCATGTCAGTGCCCCTCGTCATCTGCTGAACGCTGCAGCCTCCTCAGCATCGCGCTGGTCTGGAGCCCTTTTTTAGCTACCTCCTGCTTGATATGTCCATCCTGCTTTGGAAAGCACGAGGCTGCAGGTGCTGGGGACTGGCCCTGGTGCTGTGCCACCTCCTGACACCCCTCTCTGTGTCCTGCAGCCCTTCATCGACAGCAACCATAGCATCCACCAGTACTTCTTGCCGAGGGAGTACGCGGTTCTCATCCCCGTGGTGGCCGGGCTGCTGCTGCTGCTGTTTATAGGTGAGTGTTGTTTCTCTTGTTCTAATCAGAAGCTCCTAAATTAGGAAGAGACAAGAGGGTTGCCTGGGGCCTGTGTGACACTCGTGACACGCTCTCTGTGGCCACTTGCTGCAGCTTAGCCTGACACGGGCTCTCGGAGCCGGTGTTTGGGTGTAACTTTGGCTTTCTGGCTCAATCTGTTCCCTCTCTCTCGTGGTAGGTGTGTTCATAACGGTTGTGATGTGGAAGAACAGGAAACCTGTCAAGAAATTGGACTGAAGGCCCAAGCTGAGGGAGGGGAGGAGAAGGCCCCAGAGCCAGGAAAAGACTTTGCCTGCAGCACCGAGCAGACAGTGCTCAGCACCAAACCCTCCTGCCCTCCTTCCTGCAGAGACAAACCTGCCTGTAGTTTACAATGTACTGACCAAAGGAACCAAACCTGCCCTCCAGGGCTCATCGAGAGAGGGACCAGAGCCTTGCTGCGAGGGACCTGCTCCAGACTGGGGCTGTGCTCTGGGCTGTAGTGGTTGGGGGCCAGAGTGCAAGTTGAGCCCTAATCCCCACCCTCTGCTTGGCCTCTGGGTGATCCTTCCCCTCAGCTCTTGTTGTGTCCAGTATGTTCCTTCTGTGTTTTTATTAAACGTTCGCATACGATTTGTGGGAGTTTCTTAATCAAGTTTGAGAGGACAGAAATGAGTCTTTGGGCTTGGAAAAGGCAAGTTTGCATTCTCCATTTGCCTGCTGCAAGAGCTGATCCCAGACTGGTTTGGGTTGGAAGGGACCTTAATGCTCATCCAGCTCCAACCCCCTGCCACGGGCAGGGACACCTTCCACTAGAGCAGGTTGCTCGAGGCCAATCTTACCTTTCTGAAGAGGCACCCCTGTGTGGCCGAGCATGCAGGGGGTGCAGGGACAGTGCCACTGCTGCCCTCTGTGTCCCATCCTGCTGCCGAGACATGCCCTGGGTCACAGGACACCTCTGACCCTGCTGCTGAGGGCACGTTTCCCATCCCTGCTGTGCGCTGGTTCTGCCTGTGCCCAGAGGGTGCCAGGATGGTTTCCACTGGTGGTGCCCAGCACCGTGCTGGGACAGGGAAACATCACAGAGAGCCTGGCTGGGGCTGGCCTGGGCACACCCAGCCTTGTGCCACGGGGTAGCTCCAGCAAGGGGAGGGCAGGTTTGGGGTGCTCTGATCCTTCTCGCGTGGACTGAGAGCTTCCCCCACCAGGCAGCACCGTGTCCCACCAGCTCCGGGCCTGCCGGGGGGTGATGCTGGTGGCTCAGGGTGCCGCGGCTGTGGTTTAACCCGCTGCATGGCTGGAGCTGGTGCGTGGTCCAGGGGCTCGCCTCCAGCTGCAGGTTTGCTTCCAGCTCTTGCAGAGTCTGCCTGGCCTCCATCCACTCCTCTTCCCTTTGCCTGTGC